GTCCTACAAAGAAAAATACATACTGCAGTGTACATGAAATCCTGGGTGCTAGTATAAAATTATATACTATGGGCAAAATGAACGAAATGGTATAAATCAGCCAAAATCGGGCTCTAGATTAGGAAATCAGTCATAAATGTCCTAAATCAATATCGCAACTGAACTCTAGAGCTAAAATGCAGCTTTATTGCTTCTAAATGATGTTCATGCAAACATTGTAATAGGTAAGAGAGGATAAAGAAAAACTGGTTAACAATACAAACATGTCACTTCATTTTCGAGTATTCGACTTACAGCGTGAAGGTAAAAATATTCTCTATTTCGTTTATAAGTGGGTTTTCGAGACTACCACCTCATATAAAGAAGAATTTTAGCAAGGGGATCTGGTTTTGAAAGTTATAGGTCCAAACAAACAAAGGAAACCAAATGATGAGTCTTTTTAAAGAGTGACATTAAAAAATAAAATGGTTTCGCTCACTTTTCCTTGAGTGCATAGATAAATAGTATTATAGAGGTGAAATACTATTTTCGCTTCATGTAAAGGTTACAAATTGGGTAATTATAATTAGCAGCTATAAAAAACCCAAATACATCAGGGAAGTATTGTCACAGTTACCAAGCTATTTCGCAATCATGTATGCATTTCAAATCAACATAGCATTAAGCCTTAATTTCCTTTAAAGTAGATATGCTTGAGGCCATTAAATATATGAGACTTCAACCTAGACAAATTTTGTGCAACGAGAACGTTGTCAACAACGAAATAGCCGCTACCTACTTCATTGCAAAGGGAGCTATAAAATGGACTAAGTTGTAAGTGTCAGCAACAGTTTTAGAAGTGTGGCTGCAAGAAAATGCATCCAGTGATTTATTAAATAAATCCGCGCAAAGGCTAGCACTTCGTCAAGACGAATGCGCTTCTTGTAATGTCTTGCCAAATCATCAATATCTAACCATTTCCAAGTGAATTAATCATAGCTTATTATATATCGCGTGTTTTTCATGTAGATCAACTTCTTAAAATTCGCCCAGACTAACTCATTATTCGTTTTAAGCATAACTACTATTGGCTTGATATGAGCATGAAACCGATTCATTATATACACTAACGAGAGAGAGACTATTAGGTAATACTGATAAAGTCGGTACAAATCAAGGGTATGAAAATGCAAAACACTGCACGAAAGATTCAAGCTAGTATGTAATGCATAATTTATGGAAAATTAAATCAATGACAACCATTCGACTGAAAACTACTAGAGCGACATAACAAAATAGTCACCATTTCTTTAAGCAGGACAAATTACATAGGCAAAATCTCAGCCGACTTCTAAACTACGTGTTAGTCCAAGCCACTCTGCTAACTTTATTGCAGTGTTTTATATTTTACGAGGTTTCTAAGGAATGCGATTGTTTCTGATGAATTTTTATTTCAAATAATAATTGTGTGATTGCATCATTATTAAACTTTTATTTATTTCTTCCTTATTTTTAGAAAAAGCTTCATTTAGGTTTAAGGTCGAAATTGGACTAAAAGAGCATACATTCGTTTGTATTCCTTCAGCATTTTAAATCAAACATATTTTGACTAACTGTTTCCACCAATGAAAATTATAGTACTATCTTTTATGAAAGTATTTAAATTTATCACCAAGCCTTCCTTTTACTCTACAATCGCTTAGATGAACAGAGGAGGATATTACAGTGAGGAATAGTTAACTTTCCGTAGATTGTGAAGGATCAAAGATACCCCAGAAAGTAAAAGGAGGCAATCGTTCACTTCACTATGCAATTTCTGGTTATCATTTTTTCTCGTGGGAAGGAATAACTAAGAGATGGTTAAATTTTTAGAGCGGTTTAAATTAAAGAGGCTTTCAACACTGTTACAAGGTCAAAAATTTATTAAGAGCCGACTGCGAAATCTTTCAACAACCTCAATATTCCTTGGTTATTTTCTATATTTGCGCGTATTGTTAAACCTAAAACACATCCTAGATTAAAATAGTAGAACAGCTGACATAAATTTTACTAAAAACATTACTCCAAAAAGAAGAAAAAAACTGTGCGCACTAGTGGACACTTAGGCCTTGACCCCTGAGAAATAAATGCCTGAATTTCCGTAGATCTAGAAAGTTTTCTGCATGAACAAATTCACTAAGTCTGTAGATAGCATTGGCTACTTGCTCTTAGACTCAGGGATTCAAATTTTAAGGTAGTCCTGATGTCTTGACACATGAGGTTGCGAAGCAAACTCAGTCAAAAGATCCACAAAATGACAGAAGCCTATCGAATTTCGGAGTGGATATTATTTTACATTGTGCCCTAATCCAAACTTAAGACATGAATCGTGGGGGCCCTGGTTTACTTGAAAATTTACAAATTCTATTTTGCATTTTTTTTTCACTCGGAACGCTTTGTTATTTGTCATTATGATGCCTTTACATTTGCATATCCAGGTTGCAAAGTCTGCAGAATGTGAAAATGAAACACGATCCAGGTAAAAAACTTTATCACTCCGGATGAGAACGTGCTTTTGTCTAAAAAAAGCGTGAAATTTAGTCGCGAGACAAACAATCTTTGAAGGCTATCAGAAGATTCGAGTTTCTCATGACATTATAAAGATTGCCAACGAAGGCTTCTACTAAGTCTTTGCTAGTTGTCGAAATTTAATCCACTTATAAATAAATATTTTGGATATTTAGGGATTCAAGTGTGAACTAAAATAATATAATGTACCAATATGCAAATATGGTATAATGTGTATGGTTCAGATGTACGCTATTAATAAAAAAATAATGATAAAAACCGATATTAATTTATTATAAGATTGCAAGACCATTTGACACACCTGGTTTTGAGATTTTTCCAGGTTCACCAAAAGTAGTAGTATAGCCGAATGTGCTTTCTGTTGCCTCTAATGCTATTACGCCGCGCTGCAGCCTGTCTAGAATTTTTTCTTTTGAGAGTTCATTCAGCTGCGCTGACACAATAAGCATGATTACGTTGACGAAGGCCGATCTAAGACGAAAGCCTTCTACATCGCAAAAGACCAGCGTAGTTGTATCACGAATCATTTCATAAGCTTTGAATACCTGATCATCGTACAAATGAGTAATAACTGAATTCCGTTTTAACTTGGACAATTGTTATCCTATATGGCATTATTCTAACAAAATTGAAAGATATCTCTCGGTCTTAATGAAAGCATAATCGGGATTTTCTATCTCAACGTGAAGGAGGGGAAGTAACACCGATATTGGCATTCTATATGGGGGCACCAGGCTTGTGAAAAATCTACCAGACTGCTCAGCATTCGAGCGGGCATGATTACAACATCAGTGAGTCTAAGGGCTGAGCCTTGCAAAAGAACATTGTCCAATTCGATTCAGGGGAGTCGAAAGATGATAATTTATCTTTTCTCACAATGAAATGAGTAGGCCTCAGGATGCTATTGCATTTTCCCAATACTTGCATCTTAAGTTTCTATCTCATCTATGCTGGACTACAATTTTGACATAGCCCTGTTGTCTCAACATCCTTAGCGAGATTTTATACTGAGTAATGAATATGATGGCGACGTTACCACTTCACCACACGGCCACGGGTATCAGTAAAGCACAGGGCATATTCCATATTCAAGGCAAGAAAGGCTTCTCCCAACTCATATTTTATAATGGGCTTGTCAATTAAGTAAACATACGTTTGCTATCGCAATCGACGACGTTACTTATTTCACTATAAGTATGATACGACACTATCAGCAAAACGTGAGTAACAATTTAGGCTTTTGAGAGGCAAGGATAAAATAATTTCAATAGCATCGTGAGGTCTATTCATTCAACTGTGGAAAAAACTCAATGATCATTCCTTAATTCACCTGCAGCGAATCAAACCATTCTTAATGAAAAATTATGATATTATCGAAAAATGTCATTAGAAACTGAGCCTAAAAAATCTCATTAATATGAGGAGATTTTCTACATTGCTTTATAAAGGAGTCAATCTTTTTAAGTCTCTCATTCATAAGTATACACATCTAGTGATACAGCACCACTCGTTCTCTCTGCACCATTTGCGCGCATTTGGATAAAACCGAATCTATTTATTCATTCTGTACTTGATGCTCTTAACTATTTTCACAACTCCAGATTTGCTTAACCAGCCCGTCCATCTCATACTTAAGGAATCATTTTGTGCATTATTTCTTGTCCAACAGCATTTCTCCTCTCACCGAACACATGGTAGAAACAGGACATGAAATAGAATGGTCTCAAACTAGTCGGTTTGCTGATTATGGTAC